GCAGTCAACATTATCTTACATGAAGAAAAACATAATCACTAAATCCAGCAGGCACGAGAGTGTCCACATTCTTCACTCTTATTCAGTAAACAACTTGAATCTTAGCTAGTCAATAAGACAAGAAAAAGAGATTAAATGGATACAAATAGGAAAGAAAAAAATGTCAAAAAAAGTATTTGCTGTTGACATGATCAACTATATAGGAGATTTTGGAGACTCCTGGAGAAAACTATAGAATAAAGACTTTCACGAAAGTATCGGATTACAAAATCAATGTAAAAACCAGTAACTCGGGAAAAGCAAAGTGGGGGAGGAGAACATAAGGGATCAGGAAGGTCAAGTGGGGGAAGAACAGAGAAAGACAGCAAAAAAAGAGATCCCTTAGTAGAGGGAGCCATTATGGGCTTAATGAGAAATCTGGCACCAGGGAAATCTCCAGGGATCCACAAGGATGACCCCAACTAAGAATCTAAGCAATAGTTGAGATGCTACCTTAAATGCCCTTCCCCTATAATGAGACTGAAGACTGCCTTAAATGTCATCCTAGGGCCTTCACCCATAGCTGATGGAAACAGAAGCAGACATCCACAGCTAAGCACTGAGCAGAACTCCTGGAATCCAGTTGTAGAGAGGGAGGGGTGATGAGCAAAGGGGTCAAGACCATGCTGGGAAAACCAACAGAAACAGCTGACCTGAGCAAATGGGAACTCACAGACTCTAGTCTAACAACTGGGGAACCAGCATGAGACCAAACCAGGCACCCTGAATGCGGGTGTCAGTTGGGGGGCTTGGGCAGACCATGGGACCTCTGGCAGTAGAACTAGTATTTATCTCTACTGCATGAATGGGCTGTGGGAGCCCATTACCTATGGAGGAATACTCTCTCAGCCTAGTAATGGGAGCATATGAAGTGCCTCAGGAAACTAAATGTCAAGAAGCCAAACTGAACGTGGACAGGTTAAAATCTGAACACTGATCCACACAAAAAGTGAAAGAAGGAGTGGGTGGTGGGATAGAGGTGAGCTTTACCCAGAGTATGCTGTCTACAGGACTGCTGAGTGCCATGCTACTTGGTGTCTGGTATCTATTAATTCCAATATCTCCTTAACCTATAAATGTCACATAAAATCTGAACCCAGAAAAACAGATAAACTCTTTATTGGATTCAGACAGGGCAGAGACCAAGTTAAAAGCTAAAGCAGTTATGGACAAGTGCACAGCAATAACGCACAGAGCATAGCAACCACCCTGGGAGGGCCTATGGGCCATAACAACCAGTTAACCAGTCAACACAGGGCACTCTCCAAGCCTGGAGGCACACCAATCCTGAGCCTGTGCGTACCCCTAGACACTCCCCTTATGCTGCCCTATAAGATCTCTATGCAGAGGCTTCGAGCTGTCTTTCCTAGCCATCCGCCATGGTGGGTGGATGAAAGACCCGAGCTAACATGGGGTTAGCTTGTTAAACAACTATAATAAAGCCTCATGCAGTTTGCATCAAATAAAGAAAAAAAAAGCTAAAGCAGGATGGTGGTCCACTGGGGAGTAACCATCAAGGAAGGAGTGGGTCTCAGGGAGGGGAAACACAGCTCAGTGGAGTGTGGTCTGGAGGAAGAATAATACAGTAAGGTCATTGCTGTGTACTAGTGGCAAAGATGGCTCAGCAGTTGTGGTCCTGGTGGGCTGTGACAGAGAGAGGAACACAAATGAGAAACCCTTCCCTTACCATGAGGATAGCAGTCAGAGAGTAGCTACCTGGGAGGTAGGTGCCTATTAAAGGTCTTCTTTCCATCAAGCCTCTGGGAGGTCCCTGTGAGAATACCTGGGCCACTGAACAGTCCTGACTCCCTTGACCTTGTAGACCTCTGATTGTGTTTGGTGATGCCTAGGGCATGGAATTAGACTAAGTAATGTGGGAAGGACTCTTGGAAAAGAAAGGACAGATTTCCCAAGTATCCTGGGAATTACTCTTGAGGATACCTCCTGAGGTGGTCACTGCTTACTGACTAAGCAGGGTCCCTCCTGAGTGAGAAGATGGGAGCAGGACCAAGAAAAGATAGAAACTTTAACCCTGGAACTGAGGATTCTGGGTTTTCTCGGGGTTCTTTTAGAGATTCAATTACCACTGTCATATTTGGGAACACATCATTCTATAAAAGCAAGAAAACATCAAATATAAGAAGGTGTCCAGCACATGGGGAAGGGCCTAGGCCTGGCCCAGGATGATGTGGTGGACTTTGGGGAGTCCCC